GCTCACTGGCCAGGACCTGCCAGAGCTGCTGAGTACTAATGCAGTTTTAAAGCAGCATGTGGGACTCAAGTAGTTAAGATAATAAAATACCTTCCACAGTCCAATGGATAAATGTGTGAGATAAAAGAAATGGTCTGCAATGGGTACTAGCAAACTACAGTCCCATCGCTTTATCCACTATATACATGAATGACACAGTCAATCACAACGCATAACAAAAATGGCATGAAAAGGGGGAGTGCAGCTCAAGCTGGAGTGTTGCTTTAACCATTTGATTTTTAAAGAACCTCTCTAGTTTACAAACAAAGAAAGTAAACTATTGATGCTTTACTGTTAAATATCAACCCCGGGAACACAGCTTTAAAGTCTATATAAACCCCTGCACAAAATGTAACACATTGCATCTTACCATTCCTTAGATGTGGTGGCTGTATTAGTTTCATTTTCTTAGGTATTTTTTATTGTCACCGAGTGATGCTGCTACACTTCCTGTCCTATAGACCATGCTCACTATTGTACTTTATCTATGGAGAAGCAGCAATCTCACTCTTGTACAGGGTGTTTAGACTAACTCTCCCCATCTGCATAACAAAGAAGTGTTATATGGTTTGTCCCATCCACTGTAAATGCCACTTTTGCTAAACAACTTGATAATGGATTAAAATATAAAAGACATGTGAAATTAACAAAAATAAATAAGGAATTCATATGCTGAATACAGATATTAACCACAAATAGCTACCAGGATACAATATTTTAGCTAAAGTTGTCATTTGAATGTATACAGTTTAATTTACATTCAGGGTAGCCTTACTTTTATCACACGACCGTAATGGAAATAAAACAAAAACACAATGCAAACCAAAAGTGAGATTTAATAAAAAGAAACAAAAAAAAAAGTACAAAGTGAGAAAAAGTGAAAAAGAATAAAATTATACAGTCACAATGGTATAATGGAAAACATGTATAAAAAAAAATGTTTTCTTAATGACGATCTGAAAGATGGATCTTAACACAGGATTATACTTTGGCCAACACAAAGTGGCATTTCCTACCAGGATAAGGAAACTTGCTAAAAACAAATTGATTTAATAGGCATGCAATCTGGAAACCATTTGTACACAATCAAACCATTTAATCTTATTAAACACATCCAATAGAAAAATGGAAAAAATATCCAAGGCAACACCTGGAGTCATCTACTTGACACTTTAAAGCAGAACTTCAGGATTTTTCTTTTATTAACCCTTACAGTGGGACTACCCCCACACTGCAAAAGGTTAACTGCTCATTTGTGTCTAGGTTAAAACAAAACCCAAATATATACTTACCCATAGATCCAAGCCGGCTTCTTAGACCGGTCACTGGAATGTCTCTCCCCCTCCTCTGCAGCAGTCTAAGGTCCAGTAAATATTCACAACTATACACAGTGCATAGATGTGAGGATGCTGAGGAACATTTCAAAGTGTGGAGGAGGAGTGGATAGGATGGAAGGTGCACTGGACAGCTGGCCTGCTCACATCTTTGGGCCAGTATATATTTATTTTTGCACCAAGACACAAAGGAGAACTTGGCTCTTGCAGTGGAGCAACCCCCCACTGCAAGGGTTAATACAATATTCCTGGAGTTCTTTAAAATTACCTACAGTAGTAAATATTTTTAAACAAAACTGTTATTTTATGTACTCATTTACCCATTATATTGCTCAGTACTCTTTAGTGGGAACAAATATGTCTCCTCCACGACCTTTATGCTAATGGTTCTTGTTCTGGTACAGAATTTTGGTATCCACAAACCAGCTGTGCTTTTGTGTGTCTACATGGGGGTGCACCCTTTGAGATCAGTAAGCCCAACATAATGGTATTGCTAGATTGTTGTCACTCACAGGTCCATAACACGGCTCCAAAATTCCATATACCCCATCACTTTGGCTCCATCACCTCTCAACCAATGTTCCATGACAAAGAATGTGCAGCCACACTTCAGAACTGCTAATACAACTTTATTGATCTAACAATGCCAAGACAACCTTCCGCTCTGACAAGTTTAGCCCCCTTCTGGGAGTAAACATAGATCTCTCGGAGGTCATGTGTGGAGTGTCTCGGCATTGCTGGATCAATAAAGTTATTCAGGCTCTTTAGAACCCAATGACTGTGGCTGCAAAGCTTTTCACTGTGGAATATTGCTAGAGTATGCTATGGAAATATGGAAGAATTAGTGTCAAAAGTCAGTGAAATTATATACATGTCAGCTCATTTGTTGAACTTCACCAAAACAAAACAGCTTCTTATACTAGGCAGAACAGGCTGCGGATATGTCAGACGCTTTTCTGTAGCTTATTTTTAAATAGCAATTGTAGGCAACAAGTGAAAGCAATCAGTGAACTACTAATGGTATCCAGCAAGCACTGCAAGATTGGAGTGCTAAAATTAGAACGTTCAGTCAGTGTGCCTCAGGGATGTCCAAACCCCGGCCCTCCAGCTGTGGTGAAACTACAAATCCCATAAAGCATCTCTCCGGGAGTCATGTCTGTGGCTGTGAAAATCTTGCAAAGCCTCATGGGATACGTAGTTCCAACACAGCTGGAGGGTCGCAGTTTGGACATCCCTGGTGTACCTGGATCCAAGTGTTCTGCAAATCCACTGCACCCAGAATACAAAGAGAACCCCACAGTCTTGGGATGTGCATCCCTTAAAGCCTGTTCAATGTCTTCTCTCTGCTTCTTGTGTAACCATCCACAATTAAACTGTGGCTGTGAGAAACTTCTTCATACTGATTATTTCTTGCCTAAAGCTTTCTGTTTGTAAGAGACAGCATGCAGGGGGTGCGTTTAGGAATTTCTCTCCTGCTTCACAAGCAGGGGGTTCTGATTTCACCACATTGCTGACAAATGGACTACAGCTATGCCTGGATGAAAAATGTGTGTACTGAATAGTTATGTAGGGTTTAGGTTTTTATTTGCGTGCTCTTTCTTATAATGCTAGTCACCTGGCTGTCATTGTAGTCCTCTTGCTTTCACAGCAACTGTGAACAAGTCAGAAGGTAAGGACCTCTGTCATCTCCCATCTGCATACTTGTTGAGCTTCAGTGGCTCAGAAACTCTTGAAGTAGTGGATGAAAACAGCCAATCAGCTAGCATTTTCAGAAGCAGTGTTGGCCCCCATATTTCTCTGACGGGTAACAATGATTTTATGTTTGTACAACCTGTTGTTTTAGTGCACTGAGAACAATAACTGGGTAGTCTATGGAGCAAGAACCAAGTGACTTAACAAATGCCAGTGAAACTGTGGGACTGATTCTTACTTCCCATATGTTCAACTGAAACCGTGGACATAAAGGATATATGATTAAAGGACACTGACCAATAAACGCCCTATAAAAGGTTAATTCAAAAGCAAAAGTTGATTTCAAAAGCAGTTTAAAAATTCTTCAGCTGTTGTAATTCAAGGTCAGATGAATTGCTAAGACTTGTACAGATAATATGAGTGTCTTATGTACTGTTTGAAAACTTTGTGAACTACGTGCAATAAGATTAAACCCATGAAAGTCAGTACAAAATAATCTTTCAAAGGACATCACTGCCCAAAGCAAAAATCAAATATAAGTCACTCTTTTAAATGAAACATTAACATTTACTTTTTGCTACTAGGTTTGAAGAATGGCACCTAGCTGGAGAGTTGAAAATGAACAAAAGCTATCTTGGAAAAATGGCTTCATCTACAGGTAAAATAAAATGACTCCTGAACGTCTGACACAAAGTGCTAGGTGGGAAATGTGAAGAAAAGTTGATGGTGTCACCTAGACATGCTACCAAGTTCTAGTATGTATCAAGAAATCTAACACTTGGCTCAGCTGTGCTGGGGGATTCTGTGTAGCTAGACATTAGCTGCTAGGGGACAACATGGCGGAAAAGAAGACTTAGCTTCCATATAAATGCCCTATTGACAGGGAAATTCTAGGGTAAAACACCTAAAGAAAGCAAAAATAGATGCTTTCCCTGAATACACATAAAGATATATATTAAAATAACAGCAGTCAAAAACAAAACTTTGTCATCAAGAGAACTATAGGCAAATACGTTTATAAAGTAGAGTGAAGTGTAAGAGGCTTTGAGAAAGTCGTTATATGCAAACAGCTTGATGAAATGCCAGGCTGTAAGGCAATGGAAGGTAAGCACTGATCCAAGGAAAGAAAATATAACCCGAATATTTTCAGGCTGTAGAAGCCTACGCTTTGCTTACCAAAAATACAAATTGAATTAAGCCATTCTATCGGTAGACAATGTATATATTAACATGCTTTAATAACCATGAACAAAAAGGTTGATCTGCCCACGTGAACTGAAAAGGAAATAATGGAATGAAACACACTCTGTGAAAGTCAACACATCACCCCCATGATAACGTATGAAAATAAAATGTTTATTTGATAAGGACAACTAATCTAGTGCCTTCACTTCTGGCAGAATCCATTGTTATTCAGCATCTTGCATAACGTTGGATTACAGAACTAAGAGTCTCTGAATATTCCCTCACTATGGCCATTGTAAGGTTTTTGTCTAACACCGTTAGCCCCACCCTACCGCGATTTCAGAGAGCCAGAGCGCCAATTTAGTCTAAATAGGCTACAGGAACTCCTACTGAAGGCTGGAACATATGCCAGAGCAGTTGATTTTGTTAGTATGAAATCTGCATTAACCTAAAATGTCAGCCTCCTCCTAGCACTGAATATATGGCAAGTTTGTTTAATTGTATGCAAAATCTGCATAGTATTTGAATGATAAGGAACACAGATTGATCAAAGGCCTTGGACATTTACTTCTTTATCACTCAAGTGAAACTTTGGCATGTTTTAAACTCTAATAATATCCCCATAACTGCATACTTAGAACCATTGACCTGCCTCTGCTTCCCTTGCGGCGGAGTCAAACTTTATCTACATCAAATGCATGAGGAAATATTGTACTTTCTAATTTCCACTACAGACCTTTTCTGAAAAAGAAAGGATAAAAAAAAAAAAATAGCATAACCATACGAAATGAATATTATTATTGCAATCGGTCATGTGATACAGTAATAAAACATGGCTGTTCTGGATATGTTATACTATGAACATATTAAAAAACACAGCATCTTTAAGATCTGTATATATACATAATTATGTTGCATAGATGGTTAGAAAGCTTCAAGCTTCTAGAGTGAACAAGTCTCACATTATACCTGTAGCACTTATTAAAAGAACTGATTATCTGTAAACTGTGTAGTCTCCAGGTTTCCTGTATGCTTTGGTCCGCTCACAATGTTAAGAGAGAAGGATGGCATGTGGTGACAATTCAAGCAACTAAATGACATGAACCTGCAAGTCCACTCTTGTCATGTAAGTCTGTGCATCTTAACTGAAAAGAAAATAAACATAAAATGAAGGTGAGATTAAAACAAAAGGAATGGTAAACAAAAAATGTAAAATCAGAAGATAAAATAAATTACTATGAACGGGACAACTCGATGGATTCTTGTGCTATATATACACAGACTATATCTCCACCTTATGACTAACTACAGCTAAAACAGAGCAGGGGACAGTTAAAACATTTGCCAGGTTTTAAACGCTTTCTGCCTGTAGTTAAGATCTTTAGGTTAGGTTTTCAATGCTACAAAAAAGGACGTTTGGGCTTCCTGAATCTTAGACAATATCCCACTTACTTGGCATATTGTCTTTGCCTCAAAATAACCAAATCCCTTTTTTTGGGATAGCGTCGAAGCCTGAAAACAACCAAATCTCCCTTTTTGGGATATTGTCTAAGTTTCAATATACCAAAATGTCTCTTTTTAAGTTCGCCAAGTCCCAGTTAGTTAATTAATTTATAGTATTTAGGTTCTGGTAGGCCAAAACCAACTTTCCCTATTTTAGCTTTTAAAATACATTTCCCTTGACTTCCTTTACTGCCTGACACTTAGTAAGTAATGGTAAATTTCACTATTGGAGTCCTAGACAACAATACAATAAAACACTAAGAAAGCTTCTAAACCTTCCCCACTTTACTAGAAAATATGGGATTTCCCCTCACTGTCTGTTTTCTCCAACGCCGCAAAAGATGGGAGGTGGGGAGATTTCTGTGCTCTTCCTGTGCTTCTACCATGTCCACCGAGCTGCATTTTTACACACACCACCACACCAGATGATGTAAACAGGGCACATAGAAAAGAATTGCTGCAGGAATTCATAGCGAGACCTTAAAATGTGAATGTGGCCTTACCGTACTGAAAATTGGGGATATATCCAGTGCTAACATTTTAAATCCTGGCACTCTCCATGGGACAGAGAGGTGGCAACTATACATTGCTTTATAAAAGTAAAGCAGTTATGTGAGAAATATGAAAATGCGAGTTACCTTACTGTTATGGTGACCCCAACATCCATATTTCATGAGTCACTGGCCAAGAACAATTATGTAGATCAGGAATGTCAAAGAAAATTCTTAAGTTCTAATCTGCATAATTCCAGAATATTGACTCAAGGTACTGAGACAAAAGGTTCAAACATGACAAAAAAACAAAATATCTATCTATCTATGAGATATATATAAAGTGAAATAAATGAACTTTGCACGATATTATAATTATTCGAGTTTCACCTGTATATATATTTGCACTTTTTTCTAAACCCTCCTGAACACCCACACAAGCAAAAACATGCCTAATGCCATGCTAGGTTTCACTAGAAGGTTGGGCTAGAAGGAGAATTAGTTGAGGAGTTTCCACTTTATTCGATGTGGGTAAGGAAAGTTAACAATTTTCTATGGACTTTTGCTTAATGAGCTGGTCCAGAAAGTGTTGGCCAAACAGTGACTGCAGCTTTCAAGCTTCAAGTAAGTGTTTGGGTACTCTGACAGCAGTGGGTGCTGACAGTCCAAGTACAAAAGCCTGGCAGAGGGGAATCCCCCATCCACGGTGTTCAGGGGAATCGGAAAGAAAAAATGGCATCGGTACAAAAAATTGGCAGCTTATGTATTGTTGGAAATGACTATATCGTTCCCATTTGAAGGGCGTCTCAATTAGCAGTCTTTTATTCTATGTCAAATACACAGTTCAGTCACACAACTTTCTATCAAGTTAGACAGGTTAGAATATCTTTAGGCAGAATATGCTATAAATACATTGTTTTCCCTTCAGCGAGTTCTCATTCATGTAGAAATTGTGCAACCACATGCTCCAGCAGATGATGCTGAACTGACTCAGTCACATGCAGCAAATAACCTACAGTAAGCAATTTCTCTTCCAAGAAGATTATCCTGGAAGAGAACAGCATGGAAATCTGTGAAAAAAACACAACAATTTCCCGCACATACTGACAAAACTTTGTTAAAGGGCAACCCCGGGCAATTACTTACATTAGTGTATTGCTAATGCTATCCAGAAATCTATGCCATTGTGCTAAAGTCATAAAGATCACTCTGTGGCTGCCACTGCAGACCTCCTTCTGAAAATGCTACTTGCCTGGTACCCATTGACATCAATAATTTGCGAGTCACTGATCCAAAACAAGTATGCAGAATAAGAAAGTCTGAAGTCCTTAACTGCATATTTGTATCAGATCAGTGAATTAAAGTACTGAAAGAACAGGATCAACTAGGCTTTTTCATAAGGATTGGTCAACAATGGCCGCCTCAGAGTTTCTCTTATGACAGGTTTTCTTTCATTTATGATCCCTAGCAGATAGATCTAGTGAAGGTCCCCACAGACTTTAGGGGACAGTCTCCTATTTCAGTTATTTCTAGCCTATACAGTCTCCCAGTTGTTGACAGTGTAAGCACCATTTAGAAGATGAAAATACCAACAACTACTGGAAGGGTTCATTCACACGTGTGAATGTGTGTTTTGGTATTCCTGAGGCATGAACCTACAAGTGCTGCAGAAGGAATCCCAAACATGCCGTTTAGAAGTGGCAGCTGTCACCCGTTCAAGTTAATAGTCAGGTGACAGCGGCTGCATTTAATAGCGGTATTCCCGATGTAATCATATGTGATATGATTACATGTGGTTAGAAATAGATTGGTGATTCTAAAATACATTATTTCCCACCTCAGGAATACCAAAACGAGCATTTTACACTATAGTGTGAATGTAGTCAAAATATAGTTAAAAAGCAGAGGAGGATAAAACTAAAGAGAAAAAGAAAAAAAAAAAAAAAACACAGAACTGCTTAGTTGCATAGTATTTGGGGTTGAATAAAGACATACGTCCATCAAGTCCAACCCATATAGGTCCACGCATCATCTCATTCTTAGGGATACTGGTAGTTAGATTGTAACCACTGGGTGCTTGTAAATGAGAAAAATGTCATGCCGGACTGGAACATGCATTTAAACATAAGCCTTCATATAAAAAAATGGAATGGCCAACACAAAAAGAAACTTACTAGGGCACATACCCCTCAAATGCGAGGAGCAGCTGCCAGTGAGATGTGTATA